AAAAAATCTAAAATTAATTGAACTCACAAATAACGAACATCAATTTAATATATTAATTGACAAAATAATGATAATTATATAATCAAAAACAGCAAATAATTGATTACGACCCACCATAAAAATTGTTACCAATGTTGATTCCCGTTCAGTGAAGATTGGATATGCATAATTAAATTGCTGGAAGTCTTGATGATGGCCTGTGAAATTTATGTCGGCAACCCTATCCAATACCTCATAATCACACCCATAATTAACTAAACTGAGGAAAAAACATAGTTTATTCTAAATATAATTTAAAATCACACCCACGATTAATGAATAGCGTGGGGGAGTTGGCTTTCTCTTTTGACGTGCTTGTGTATGAATGGATGAATAGTAAAATTAACCATTCACGTTACAACCTTTTACAACTTTTTGGAAAGGTATCGTGCTGATAACGTGTTGTAAAAAGAGAGAAAAAGAGAAATCAATAGACTTGTATATATGATAATGAGAATCAAAGCCTTATATTTATAGGAAATGAATAGGGATACATATAGTAATAATATCTAGGACTGCAAGAAAAAAATTGTCATTCATCAATAACTTACCATTTACAACAAAGATCTTGGTCTGATGGCCTTTTTATTGATTTTGATGATTGGATCGCTCTATGAATGGACTATGCCGACGCCGAATATGATGGTAGGACATTTCACAATACTTCTTACAAATTTTTTTAAAAAAAAAATTAGAACAAGAGCCAAAAGACGTGGGAATTTGCTATACCCATGCGACACGTTACATTGTTCATACCAACTGCATGATCAACATAGAAATTTATCTCTGTCCTCATTTCCGTAATCAAAAAAGGCCAAGAGAAAATTACATAAGAAAGATGATTAACCTCGAAAGAGAAAAAAAATAAAATAATAATAACAATTTTAACATTATTTTTTTGATTTCTTTGTACTCTTTTCTCTTTACGTCCATTCCACATTATTTTAATTTTGATACCCGACTTTTCTCTCATTTTTTATCTTAGTTAAGAAATTTCTTAAAACTGTTAGGTATATAGTATATACTTCGAAATTTTTGAAATCTTTAATCTCAAGAGTTTGTGGTTTGTAATTTCAGTAACTTTTTTTTTCAAATTTAAACATTCACACAGCAACAATGCATGTTTTCGCCTATGATTTTCCTCTATCTGAAGGTTAATATTTACGTAAATTTAATATATTGATTTTTGAATAATATTGTTTTGATGACACTTCAAAAGGAAAACGAATCGTCATTATATATACAATTCATTTGTAGAGTAGTTAAAGATACATAAAAAAATGAATGAATTACTCTCATTTGTAGGGTTATGTATTTTCTTGTCGCTGATGCATAAATTATATTCTGTAAACTGGGGAACATAGACTCTCGATTTTGAGAAGCCCGTTTCAATAAATGCTTTGATTTTGAATTAGAATAACTGATAAAGGATGTTATGTTGGCACTTTGTTACGGAAGTTTTCAAATGATATTTTATGAACATAATATGATGCTTGTAGGCAATAATATCTTATTTATTACTTATCTAATAAGATAACGGAAGAGGCTAAAAAACCCGAGAAACATGATCGGTTCAGTTCCAGTGGAGAATAATATGAACAAAACAATACAGCGCCAAGGAGAATGGGTAGAGGAAAAATGCTAATAAGCAAGTCCAGAAAGGATAACTTGTACTTGAGCACCCCAAAATCCCTATTACGGCACAAACCACCAAAATAGTTAGCACTTCTGCTGAATAATCCCATGGCAAGTCCTTCGCGTAAACAACTGCTAACAGTATTGTCAAACCCGAGATGTTGTTCATTACGACGCTACTATAGATCTGAAAGTCAAATGAAAAAGGTTTCATCAACGAGTCCTTCACAATTCTTTGTTAACGCTCTACTATAAATTATAATGTGTACATGTGCGCATGCTTGTGTTTATGAGAGAGAGAGAGAGAGAGAGAGAGAGAGAGAGAGAGAGACCTCGGAGAATGTTAAAGATGCCGTTTTTTCAGTCTTTTTACTGACTGGAAATATAGCTTCTATTAAGGTTCTTGCATTCATTGCCAATGGCACTATCACAAATGAGATGGAGAAAGAAGGCACACTCATGGCATATGATAACTCTAGGATACTTGTCGTGAGAGGTCCTCCAATGAAGGTCAATATAACAATACCCAACACTATTCTAAATACACATTTTACAAAATTCCAGAAAGTGTGTCCATAAACGAATTTATCCCATACAATCTGCAAGTTAAGGGAGGAGAAAAATGGATTAGTTAACTTCCAATGAAATCAGTAATTTGTACAAAACTTAACGAAAAGCTTCTGTAAAAAGTTAAAACAATTTCCTTCTCACCTTGTCAAACTTATCCACACTTTTAGTCTTATCAGAGCATTTAGCAACACGAATGGCTTTACCAAGCCAATTTTGTAGTCCGTTGACAAATTCTTCTTTTTCAATCATATTACTACCATCTTTATCGAAGTTGAAAAATATCTTGTTAACCACATCCTCAGATTTCGGGTGCAAATTTTCGAATTGGACTGTATTGATTATTTGCTCTAATTCATTTCTTGATATCTTCTTGTTATTGTCATTGTCATACTTTCTGAAGAGGCTGCCAGAATAAAAAGAAGATTGTGAGGAATATCTGTCAGACTGAGAAAACAAACAGGTAAATTATGATAAATTACATGTTAATTCTCTCAATGTTTGGTTTCCCATCTTCCTGGATAAGTGGTCCTTCTAGTAGTTGGCTTTCAGCGTGCTTTAGAATTTTCGACATTATTGGATCAATTTCCAATTTCTCTTTTTCCATCCGACTAAACTGTTGAAAGTTCTGCAGCAGATCAAAAACAACTATGATGCATATTAGAAAAAGAAGTTACAAAAATGTGAAAGGAATTTGAATACATTTATAGAAGNAGTTACAAAAATGTGATAGGAATTTGAATACATTTATAGAAGCAACATCTTGCAGATAAAACTTGCACAAGATACTTCCATTAGTATGAATAGTTTTAAAATTTGCATGAATTAGGAAGCTTGCCTCGTCTTGAAGTTCTGTTGAAAAGAAATCACCTTTTTCAGCTAACGTTACACATGCTCTGGTGAATTCAGTTTGGTTGATTTTGCTGTCATTGTCGGAATCAAATAATTCCATTGATTTATCAACAGCTCTATTTATGGCCTCTTCGGACATCCCTGGCATGATTTTATTAAACAACTTTTTCATTTCAGGCCCTGTTATATATCCGTCTCCATCTTTATCTGTTTCACCAAATAGACTGCAAATACAAGTATACGATGAGAGCCTTCATATCGGACATGATTAGAAAATTTACCATGTAATATTTCAAAAAATTACATTTTGATGAGAGCAAAGTTAGGATTCCCATCATCCTCATCAATAAGTGTTCCCCACCGTTCCACATGTTTCAAAAATGCTTCTCTTAGAATCTCATACTGCATGTAATCTGAACTTAATTTCTGCATCCACTCATCCAGAGTCTGAAAAAGAAAAGAAAATTAGCAATATTGTACATTATATCGCTAGTAATACAGGGTTAGCTTTAAACCATAATACCTGATAGATGAAATATGAAAGTAAAGATGCGGCAGACACTACGAACGCTATCAAAAGACCTATGTGGGATGTGTTGAAGATATCAACTAGTTGCACAATGATGTAAGGAATCAAAGAAAGAAGCATAATCCCAGCTACTTTACGAGTTTCATTTCGAAGTTTAACACTGGTTTCTGCATTTAAGAAAGAATTGTCAGTTATTATATATTCAATTGCAAAGATCAACTAATTCAAATGAAAGAGGAAAACCTTTTAATTCATTGAATTTTTCTTTGACTTGCAAGCAACATGAAGTTTGGGATTCTGAATGTTCGGACGTCTCAGATTCAGTTGTGGATTCTGAATGCTCAGACGTCTTTGATTTATCTTCCGGTTTTTTCGCGCCCAAAATCAGGCATATACCCCACTGCAGCGTGAGAGTAAAGACAGTGATTCCAGCGTAGATACCCACTCCAAGTGACACCAGAGACTGAGCGTTCTCTTTGCTACCGAAAACTCCAGTTACTACAAACAGTGATTGTTTCCTTTAGTATTTTGTAGAGTGCTTAAGGTTTCGAATATTATTAAGAAATAAAAAACAGCATAGAACTTAAGCTAAAGATTCCCGAAAGTTTTATTTCAGAAATATTGTCAAATTTGACGTACTAGTCCATTATAAGTTTCTATGTGTTGTGGTGTGACCTAAATTCCATGTGATTTGGTGTTTTGTTGAATAAAAGAAGTCTAAAGAGTTTTGGCTTTGGGAATCCTAATTAATAAATATCAAATTTCATAAACAATTGGGAGTTTGGCTTGAAAATGGACTTCGAGATGAAAAAATAATACCTTGGAGGCATAATTACTTAAATTGGGCGCCGTAGTGCTCGTGAGGAAAAATTGGGCAGGGCGCTCAGTGCCGCAGCTCCGACACCCATGCTGATATTTGCCCGAGATGCACTGGTTGGTGGCTCATCGGGTTTATCCCGATTTTTCTGATTTTTATGTTTTTTTCTTCATTTAGGACNATATATATATATACATATATATATATATATATATTAAAAACAATATCTTGAGAGTTAGAGAGTTTAGATTTCAATTGAGAGTATTAAAATCTTAATATTGTAAACACATTCATTATTAATTTGAGTGAAATTCTCCACTTCTCCCTATGGTTTTTTCTCATCTTAGGTTTTCACATAAATCTTGGTGTTCTTGTTTTATTCTTGTATATTTCATTATTGCTATTGTTTAGCTATCAATCCATAACAAATGGTATTAAATTAAGGTTGATTTTTCGTATGGTATCGACCAAATATGATATTATATTATTGGATCAAAACACGAGATATACTATATGGCAAGTGAAGATGCGAGCGGTTTTCACATAGATGGATTCGGAGAAAGCCTTGCTTGACTTTTATAAGATGCCTTTAACTTGGATGCAGGATTAAAAGTAAAGTCAGGATCAGAAAGCCCAATCTCAAATTTATCTACATCTTTTAAATCAATTTTTTCAGGATGTTTTAAAGGAAAAAAGTTCCGCTGCGTTGTGATTGAAGTTGGAGTAACTTTGTATGACAAAGAGTTTAACCAGCGAGTTACACTTAAAACAACGCTTGTATTTTCACCGGACGTCCGAAGTGTGTCATTGAATGATCACTTAACTATGTTCAAAGAAATCGTGGCCGATTTGGAGACATTGGAAGTTAAGTATGATGAGGAGAACTTGGCTTTGATATTGTTTTGTTCATTGTCGCCGTCATATGTGACTTTTAGAGATATTAGTCTCTATAGTTGGGATACTCTTATTGTAGTAGAGGTCTATGATACTTTACTATCTAAGGAGAAGATGCGACATCTTGCTAGAGAATCTGATAGTCAAGCTGAAGGCCGGTTGTTTGTGGGAGAAAATAAGATAGGAATCTTGGTAGAAATATGATAGGTAGATTGAAATCTAGACATGCAGAGAAAAACATGTTACTATTGTAAAAAGAATGATCATATTAGAACATATTGTTATTCTTTTGAAAAATAGAAACAAAGCAAGTTGTAAACACAGCGGAGGCTCATGTTGTGGAAGATGGGAAAAGTGAAGGGAAGCTTTTTGTAATTTTTGACATGGGTTCCACACCTTGTAAGGAATGGATTTTTTACTCGACTTGTACTTTTCATATGTATCCCAACTAAGACTGGTTTACATTGTATGAAAGAGTTACAAGAGGTATAGTGATTATGGGAAACAACATGTCTTGAATAAATGTGGGAGTTTGTACAGTTAGGATCAGAATGTTCGATGGGGCTATTAGAACACTTAAGGCATGTTCCAGAACTGAAGCAGAATCTCATATCTTTGAGTACACTTAACTCAAATGGTTATAGATACACTGGTGAATGTGGAGTTTTGAAAGTGAGTAGCAGTACTTTTGCTGTCATCAAGGGACATTAAAGCTCAACATAATTGTACATTTTGCAATGTTCTACAGTAATATGGGATGCAGCAGTTTCTGCTTCTTCTTTGACAGATAAAAAATTACAAAACTTTGACATATTCGGTTGGGCATAAGAGTAAGAACGGTATGACAGAGTTGAGTGAAGGGGACTTTTTTGAAGACTAGTAAGATAAATTTTGTGAGTATTATGTCTTTATAAAACAGAAAAGAGTCAGATTCACTAAAGGAAGGCACAACATGAAGGGAACACTTGAATATATCCATTCAGATCTTTGAAGACCTGCCCGGGTATCTTCAAAATGAAGTGCTTACTTGTTGACAGTGATTGATGACTCCTCCAGGAAAATTTGGGTATTCTTTTTAAAGTGAAAAAGTGATGTATTTAAGACATTCAAGGAGTGAAAAACAATGATAGAAAAGTAAACTAGAAAGCAGGTGAAACATCTACGCATAGATAATGGGTTAAAATTTTGTTAGGATGAATTTAATAGCTTCTGCAGGGCTGAAGGCATCTTGAGATACTTGAAAGAGCCTGGAACTTATCAACAAAACGGTGTAGAAGAACGAATGAATGGAACTTCGATAGAAAATGTTCGTTATATGCTTTCAAATTCTGGGTTGCCTAAGACTTTTTGGTATGAAGCTGCTAATACAGCTAGTTTTCTGATTAATCACTCACCTTCAACTGCCATTGAGAAAAAAATATCAGAAGAGGTATGGACTGGTAAATCTTCTTGTTATTCTGATTTAAAGATTTTTAGGTGTCCTAATTATGATTATGTGGATAATATAGATTTGGAGTTTAGGTCTAAAAAGTGTATCTTTCTTGAGTATAAATTAGAAGTGAAGGGGTATAAATTCTGGTGTCGCAAAACAAGAAAAGTGATGGTTAGTAGAGATCTAGTATTTAATTAACTTTCTATGGTTCATGATTCACCCCGTGGGGATTTTGAAAAAACTAAAGAACAAAATCATTTAACTTAGGTGGAGCTGAAAATTGGCTTAGCGAGACAATAAGAAGTTTCATAACGATCTACTACATATCAGCCTAGTTCAAAGCTAGTAGATAGTAATATTTTGCCTACACCACCAGCAACACCATAGTATTCAATTGCTAAGGATAAACCTCACATACAAATTAAAGTTCCATAAAAGTATGAAGAAGCATATTTAATAGCTTATGCATTGAGTGCGGCTGATAATATTGATTCCACTGAGGAGCTTACTATACATTCAGAGGTAGATGGTTGATTGCTATACATGAAGAGATGGAGTCATTGAATATAAGTAATAATTGGGACTTGGTGAAATTACCTAATCATAAAAGTTGTTCGCCGCAATTGGTTGTTCAAAAGAAAGGAATGCACATTAGGGATTGAATATGTAAGGTATAAGACCAGATTGGTAGCAAAAGGCTACAATCAGATTCTAGGTATTGATTTCACAAACGTGTTCTTACCATTTTTAAAGCATAGTTCTATTCAGACTTTAATTGGTGTAATAACTTGACTTAGAGTTTGAGCAGATGGATGTCAAGGCAACATTCTTACATGGAGAACTTGAGTAGAGCATTTAAATCCAACAACCAGAGGGTTTTATAGTTTCTGAAAAAGAAGACCATTGCTTGTTGAATAAATTCTTGTATGAATTGAATTAATTACCGAGGTACTGGTATGAAAGGTTCGATTCATTCATAACTACTCATACTTTCATTAGAGGTAATAATGGTAGTTGTGCGTACTTCAAAAATGGATATGGTGGATCGATCACTTATTTGTTATTATATGTTGATGATATACTCATACCAGCTAATGACAAAGTAGAGGTTTGGAAGGTGAAATCTCAACTTAGTAAGGAGTTTGACATGAAAGATTTGGGTGCAGTAAGGAAGATTTTTGGTATTGAAATTTTGAGGGATAAGAATGTTGGCAAATTGTATTTGAGTCAGAAATGATAAATTGAGAAGGTGCTTCAATGTTCAACATGCGGAATGCTAAGGCTGTCAATACTTGACTGCCCACTTTAAATTATCATCTAATTCGTGTACTCGGTCAGATGAAGCTATTGATTACATGTCCCGGGTTTCTTATTCTACTTCAATTGGTTTGTTTATGTACGTTATGGTTTATACAATACCAGATTTGGCTCATGCAGTCAGTGCATTTAGTAAACACATGGTGAATCCTAGCAATGAGCATTGGAAAGAAGTGCGGTGGATATTCAAATACTTAAGGGGCTCTTCTAATGTTTGTTTTCATTTTGATATAAAATATAGATGGAGTCATTGGATATGTGGATTTAGATTATGCAGGGAATCTTGATAAGAGGAGATTACTTACAAGGTATGTGTTTGCCCTTGAAGACTGTGCTATCAACTGGAAAGCTGCTTTACAGAATATAGCAGCTTTGTATACAACAGAAGCAAAGTACATGACCATTACATAAGCATGTAAGGAGGCTATATGGTTGAGAAGATTAATTTGTGAAATTAGTGAAGACTTGAAGATTTATATAGTATATTTTGATTGTCAGAGTGCTATTTTCTTGACTAAGGATCAATTTTTTCTCGAAAAGACTAAGTACATTGATGCGATGTATCATTTTGTGTGTGATGTGACTGTTCGTAGTGATATTGTAGTGAGTATGGTTGATACCAAGGATAATCTTGCTGATATGATGACAAAATCACTCTCCCATTGCTAAGTTTGAGCATTGCTTGAACTTAGTTAGTATTTGTCATTAATTTAGCCCATTGGCACTAGTTTGGAAAAGAAGGAGTGGTGTTTACTTGAAAATGTGTTTTGAATTCCTTGTGTTGGAATTTGGTTTAAGATGGAGAGTTGTTGTGGTGTGATCTCCATATGATTTGGTTTTGGTTGAATAAAAGAAGTCAAAGGAGTTTTGATTTTGGGAGTCCTAATTTATAAAAATGATTGGGAGTTTGGATTGAAAAATGGCTTTTAGATGAAGAAAAATACCTTGGAGGCTTAATTACCGAAAGTGGGCACTGCATGAGAAAAAAATGGGCAGAGAGCGCTGCGTCACCCCTTCTGGTATTTCTGCCCTGGGCGTCGGGGCGATGGTTTGATGGTGCCCGATTTTATATTTTCTTCTTCATTTAAAACTCCAAAAAGTGGCTCCCATATATATATTCTACATTGTTTTATCTCTATATATACATTAAAAACAACTTCTCGAGAGTTAGACATCTTAGATTTCAATTGAGAGTATTGAGATTTGTATACACATTGAGTTTCCACATAAATTTTGGTGTTTTTGTTTTATTCTTGTTTATTTCATTATTGTCATTATCTTACTATCAATTCATAACACTATGCAATATAGTCAAATGCAAGAGCCAAGTACTGAATTGTTAATTTCCATAGAAAGAACGAAAAGATGTCATGGTTAAACAAAAGATCAATTTATAACTTACTGATCATCATCATCATTGCTGGTAACCCCATGAGGATTCGGAAAATGATACTAACATATTTGCCTGTGCCAAAACGATTTTCAAGGATTTTAAAGAACACCTTGCTCCCAATGCTCAGCTGCATTTCTCCAAATATTAGTAGACCCTGATAAACCAGTATTTGGAAAATGTATCCTCCAGCATTTTCTGCACATGGTAGGAAGCCATATGTGTGCTGACAAGTGCTTGCGGACACAAGAACATCATTCGCAGTAACAGCTGAAGATTGATCATCAATTCCATCAGAGATTAAATAATCAGAGGAATTGATTCTCAGAATTCGGCCATGGACGGAGCTGATAAAAGATATAAATACCATAATGCTTAAACTAGCAATTGTTGCAGTGAAAATTTGTATAACGTATGGTAGACAGTGAATGCGCATAGCCATATTTTGTCGAGAATCAATTATGCAGTAATGTGTGCGCTTCTTTAGTGCTGTGAAGGAAAATGGAAGCTGTTGATCACCTTTTATATACAAGTAAAAAGCTATTGTTTCAAAATTGATTAGTGACCGAAATTACACGAAAAAAATTTGATTTAACATTTAATAACTGCTACTTGGCGACCTATTTCCAATATTTTAATGAGATAGTTATGTGATAATAAACATGTGATCTAAACTTTGTAGTCATTAAGTAATGTGATAATTGAAAGTCGTCGTTGACCGCGGTTTTGCGTTTAATTTTTCATGGTTCTCGATTTTCCAAACACGAGATATGTTTTCAAACTATCATAATTTTTAAGTTGAATTAGGATGATTACTTTTAATGTTTATTTTCTTTTATATTTTTATTCTCAACTTTTGTTTCTTGACATAAATGTTTCTAACGTTTATAAAGATTCAATAGACTTACTATAATCGACAGCACTTCGAAACTTCAATGAAAACTCAGCTTATGTTTGAGCTCCATTGAATTTTCTAAAAACTAATTTTTTTCGAAATTTATTTTTAATCACACATTCTCCTACATAATAATTTAAGATAAGCCGTATTCATATATATAACTATTTATAATAAGTTCAATACCCTAAATTAGACGGGATTGGAGAAACAAACTTTTTAAAAAATTCACTGCATAGAAAATTCCCCGATTAAACCATAAACGAGTAATTTTTCACGTTCAAAAAATTAGAATAACACTCATTTATATTTAATTATTTAGTGAGTTTAGATAGCCCATTATGTTAACAAATTGCCAATTGGATTCTTTTCATATACTCTTACAAGTATGGCATATTGGCATGATCTTGAAATTGAAATACGGTACAAGCGAACCCAACATTCATCAACGAAAAACGTGTGGAATAATTCAACTAATTATGTCATGACACATGTCCGAAAACAATTATCTATCACGGTCCTTAAATTTCAACATTTCACAATGCTGTTCTTTGAAAAATACAAAAGATGTCATTTGACTTGATCTCTCCCTAAAAATAAAAAGTAAGTGTACGTTTGATTGCAAGGGTGGAACAAAAATGAATTCTAGAAAAAATAATTGTCTAGAATTTATTTTTCAGAGAATTGTTAAGAGTGTGTTTGATTGGTATAATTTTTCACCCGAACAAATTTTGAAATTTTGGATCTTTTTATTCACGTTTGGCTTTATTTTACATGAAAATTGTCCATTAAAATTAAAAAAAAATTTACAGTTGGTTATGAAATTTGTTACTATTGCCAAAAAGTAAAAAAAAAAAAAAAAAATTTACTCGAAAACTATTTTTCATCAAAATTTAGTGTCCGTTTGATTTCGTTTTACATGGAAATTGTCCATTAAAGTAAAAAAAATTTTACAATTAATTATGAAATTTATTTCTATTGAAAAAAAAAAAGGTCAGAAAGCTGGAATTCCTTTTCTCACCAAAAAGGTGGGAAAAATAATTCAAGGACTTGGTGGAAAATGGGCGCATGGGCAGGGGGTGGGAATTTATTTGGGAACAATACATAAATAAGGTATTTAAGTATCACCATTTCAAAATTAAGGTTTGAGGTTTTAAATTTTAAAAATCAGGTTTTCATTAAAATTTATTTATAATTTAATTAATTAATTATATATTTAATTAATAAATATATAAAGGTCACAGATCTATGCAATTTGGTCACAATTCAAAAAATTTAAAGTCACAATTCAAAAATTTTATAGGTTTAGGGTCACAATACAAAAATTTTAAGGTCACAATTCA